CAATCTATCTATCTATCTATCTATCTATCTATCCATATCTATCCATCTATCTATCCTATCTTAGACTGTTAATATTTTATCTCAATCTGTTTCTTATCTATGTATTTCTATCTATTCTTCTCCATCCATCTATCTGTCTATCTATCTATCTATCTATCTATCTTAGACTGTTAATATTTATCTCCAATCTGTTCTTATCTATGTATTTCAGTCTATTCTTATCTATCTATCTATCTATCTATCTATCTATCTATCTATCTATCTATCTATCTATCTTAGACTGTTAATATTTATCTCAATCTGTTCTTGTCTATGTATTTCAGTCTATTCATCTCATCTATCTATCTATCTATCTATGTATCTATCTATCTATCTATCTATCTTAGACTGTTAATATTTATCTCAATCTGTTCTTATCTATGTATTTCAGTCTATTCTTTATCTTCTCTATCTATCTATCTATCTATCTTAGACTGTTTATCTATCTTCTGTTCTCTATGTAATTCCAGTCTATTTATCTATCTATCTATCTATTCTTATCTATCTTAGACTGTATTCTCAGTTCTTATCTATGTATTTCCAGTCTATTCTATCTATCTATCTATCTATCTATCTTCATCTATCTATCTATCTTAGACTGTTAATATTTATCTCAATCTGTTCTTATCTATGTATTTTCAGTCTATTCTTCTCTATCTATCTATCTATCTATCTATCTATCTATCTATCTTGTCTATCTATCTTCTCAACTGTTCTTATTTATCTCAATCTGTTCTTATCTATCTATCTATCTATTCTTCTCTATATATCTATCTTAGACTATCTATCTGTCTTGGGTTCTGTCTATGTATTTCCTTCTTCCTCATCATCTATTCTTCTATCTATCTATCTATCTATTCTTCCAGTCTTTTCTTGTCTATCTATCTGTCTTATCTATCTATCTATCTATCTATCTATCTATCTATCTATCTATCTATCTATCTCTATCTATCTTAGACTGTTATTTATCTCAATCTGTTCTTATCTATGTATTTCCAGTCTATTCTTATCTATCTATCTATCTATCTATCTATCTATCTATCTATCTTAGACTGTTAATATTTTATCTCAATCTGTTTCTTATCTATGTATTTCAGTTCATTCTTCTCTATATATCTATCTATCTATCTATCTATCTATCTATCTATCTATCTATCTATCTATCTATCTATTAATCATTCTATCTTAGACTGTTAATATTTATCTCAATCTCTTCTTATCTTTAACTATTAAAATTTATCCAATCTATTCTTATCTCTGTATCTATCTATCTATCTATCTATCTATCTATCTATCTATCTTAGACTGTTAATATTTATCTCAATCTGTTCTTATCTATGTATTTCAGTCTATTCTTCTCTATCTATCTATCTATATATCTATCTATCTATCTTAAACTGTTAATATTTATCTCAATCTGTTCTTATCTATGTATTTCAGTCTATTCTTCTCTATCTATCTATCTATCTATCTTCATCTATCTATCTTAGACTGTTAATATTTATCTCAATCTGTTCTTATCTATGTATTTCAGTCTATTCTTCTCTATCTATCTATCTATCTATCTATCTATCTATCGATCTTAGACTGTTAATATTTATCTCAATCTGTTCTTATCTATGTATTTCAGTCTATTCTTCTCTATCTATCTATCTATCTATCTATCTATCTATCTTCTATCTATTTAATATTTATCTCAATCTGTTCTTATCTATATTTCAGTCTATTCTTCTCTATCTATCTATCTATCTATCTATCTATCTATCTTAGACTAATTTTCTCCAATCTGTTCTATTTATCTCAATCTGTTCTTATCTATGTATTTCAGTCTATTCTCTATCTATCTATCTATCTATCTATCTATCTATCTCTATCTTTAGACTGTTAATATTTATCTCAATCTGTTCTTATCTATGTATTTCAGTCTATTCTTCTCTATCTATCTATCTATCTATCTATCTATCTATCTATCTATCTATCTTAGACTGTTAATATTTATCTCAATCTGTTTCTTATCTATGTATTTCAGTCTATTCTTCTCTATCTATCTATCTATCTATCTATCTATCTATCTATCTATCTTAGACTGTTAATATTTATCTCAATCTGTTCTTATCTATGTATTTCAGTCTATTCTTATCTATCTATCTATCTATCTATCTATCTATCTATCTATCTATCTTAGACTGTTAATATTTATCTCAATCTGTTCTTATCTATGTATTTCAGTCTATTCTTCTCTATCTATCTATCTATCTATCTATCTATCTATCTATCTATCTATCTTAGACTGTTAATATTTATCTCAATCTGTTCTTATCTATGTATTTCAGTCTATTCTTCTCATCTATCTATCTATGTATCTATCTATCTATCTATCTATCTATCTATCTATCTTAGACTGTTAATATTTATCTCAATCTGTTCTTATCTATGTTCATTTCATTCTATTCTTCTCTATCTCTATCTATCTATCTATCTATCTATCTATCTATCTATCTTAGACTGTTTATATTTATCTCCAATCTGTTCTTATCTATGTATTTCAGTCTATTTCTTATCTATCTATCTATCTATCTATCTATCTATCTATCTATCTCTTAATATTTATCTCAATCTGTTCTTATCTATGTATTTCAGTCTATTCTTCTCTATCTATCTATCTATCTATCTATCTATCTATCTATCTATCTTAGACTGTTAATATTTATCTCAATCTGTTCTTATCTATGTATTTCACTCTATTCTTCTCTATCTATCTATCTATCTATCTGTCTATCTATCTATCTATCTATCTATCTTAGACTATTCATATTTATCTCAATCTGTTCTTATCTATGTATTTCTTCATTCTATTCTTCTCTATCTATCTATCTATCTATCTATCTATCTATCTATCTATCTATCTTAGACTGTTAATATTTATCTCCAATCTGTTCTATATCTATCTATTTCTTGTCTATTAATATTTATCTATTCTATCTATCTATCTATCTATCTATCTATCTATCTATCTATCTATCTATCTATCTTAGACTGTTAATATTTATCTCAATCTGTTCTTATCTATGTGTTTCAGTCTATTCTTATCTATCTATCTATCTATCTATCTATCTATCTATCTATCTTCTTAGACTGTTATTTTATCTCAATCTGTTCTTATCTATGTATTTCAGTCTATTCTTCTCTCTATCTATCTATCTATCTATCTATCTATCTATCTATCTATCTATCTATCTATCTTTCATGTATAATATTTATCTCAATCTGTTCTTATCTATCTATTTCAGTCTATTCTTCTCTAATCTATCTATCTATTTATCTATTCTTCTCTATCTATCTATCTATCTATCTATCTATCTATCTTAGACTGTTAATATTTATCTCAATCTGTTCTTATCTATGTATTTCAGTCTATTCTTCTCTATCTATCTATCTATCTATCTATCTATCTATCTTAGACTGTTAATATTTATCTCAATCTGTTCTTATCTATGTATTTCAGTCTATTCTTCTCTATCTATCTATCTATCTATCTATCTATCTATCTTAGACTATCTTAATATTTATCTCAATCTGTTCTTATCTATGTATTTCAGTCTATTCTTCTTCTCTATCTATCTATCTATCTATCTATCTATCTATCTATCGATCTTAGACTGTTAATATTTATCTCAATCTGTTCTTATCTATGTATTTCCAGTCTTTCTTCTCATTCTATCTATCTATCTATCTATCTATCTATCTATCTATCTTAGTCTGTTAATATTTATCTCAATCTGTTCTTATCTATGTATTTCAGTCTATTCTTCTCTATCTATCTATCTTAATCTATCAATCTATCTATCTTCTTAGACTGTTAATTTTATCTCAATCTGTTCTTATCTATGTATTTCAGTCTATTCTTATCTGTCTATCTGGATCTATCTATCTATCTATCTATCTATCTATCTATCTTGGACTGTTAATATTTATCTCAATCTGTTCTTATCTATGTATTTCCAGTCTATTCTTCTCTATCTATCTATCTATCTATCTATCTATCTATCTATATCTATCTATCTTATCTGTTCTTATTTATCTCAATCTGTTCTGATCTTATCTATGTATTTAATCTATTCTTCAATCTATCTATCTATCTCTTCTGTATCTATCTATCTATCTATCTATCTTAGACTGTTAATATTTATCTCAATCTGTTCTTATCTATGTATTTCAAATATTCTTATCTATCTATCTATCTATCTATCTATCTATCTATCTATCTATCTGTCTTATCTGTGTATTTTTAAACAATCTGTTCTTATCTATGTATTTCAGTCTATTCTTCTATCTATCTATCTATCTATCTATCTTATCTATCTATATATCTATCTTAGACTGTTAATATTTATCTCAATCTGTTTCTTATCTATGTATTTCAGTCATTTTCTCTCTATCTATCTATCTATCTATCTATCTATCTATCTTAAACTGTTAATATTTATCTCAATCTGTTCTTATCTATGTATTTCAGTCTATTCTTCTCTATCTATCTATCTATCTATCTATCTATCTATCTTAGACTGTTAATATTTATCTCAATCTGTTCTTATCTATGTATTTCAGTCATTTCTTCTCTATCTATCTATCTATCTATCTATCTATCTATCTGTCTATCTTAGACTGTTAATATTTATCTCAATCTGTTCTTATCTATGTATTTCAGTCTATTCTTATCTATCTATCTATCTATCTATCTATCTATCTATCTTAGACTGTTAATATTTATCTCAATCTGTTCTTATCTATGTATTTCAGTCTATTCTTATCTATCTATCTATCTATCTATCTATCTATCTATCTATCTTAGACTGTTAATATTTATCTCAATCTGTTCTTATCTATGTATTTCCATCTCTTATTCTAAAATCTATCTATCTATCTATCTATCTATCTATCTATCTATCTATCTATCTTAGACTGTTAATATTTATCTCAATCTGTTCTTATCTATGTATTTCAGTCTATTCTTATCTATCTATCTATCTATCTATCTATCTATCTATCTATCTATCTTCTTATCTCAAATTGAAAGTTTCATATTTATCTCAATCTCTTCTTATCTATCTATCTATCTTAGACTTTCAATCAGACATTCTTCTCTCTATCTATCTATCTATCTATCATCTATCTATCTCTATCTTAGACTATATTTATCTATTCTTATTATGACTGTTAATATTATCTATCTCAATCTATCTATCTTAAACTTATCTTTATCTCAATCTGTTCTTATCTATGTAATTCTATCTTATCTATCTATCTATCTATCTATCTATCTTATCTACTCTTAATGTTTATCTCAATCTGTTCTTATCTATGTATTTCAGTCTATTCTTCTCTATCTATCTATCTATCTATCTATCTATCTATCTATCTATCTATCTATCTTGGACTGTTAATATTTATCTCAATCTGTTATATCTATGTATTTCAGTCTATTCTTCTCTATCTATCATATCTATCTATCTATCTGTTTTATCTATCTATCTATATATCTATCCATCTTAGACTGTTAATATTTATCTCAATCTGTTCTTATCTATGTATTTTCTCTCTCTATTCTTCTCAAATCTATCTATCTATCTATCTATCTATCTATCTATCTATCTTAGACTGTCTATTTATCTCAATCTGTTCTTTTCATGTATTTCAGTCTATTTTATCTCATCTATCTATCTCTATCTATCTATCTATCTATCTATCTATAGACTGTTAATATTTATCTCAATCTATTCTTATCTCTATCTATCTATTATCTATCTATCTATCTATCTATCTATCTTCTTAGACTGTTAATTACTTATCTCAATCTGTTTCTTATCTATGTATTTCAGTCTCTTATCTATCTATCTATCTATCTATCTATCTATCTATCTCTATCTATCTATCTTAGACTGTTAATATTTATCTCAATCTGTTCTTATCATGTCTTTCAGTTCTATTCTTGTCTATCTTCATCTATCTATCTATCTATCTATCTATCTATCTATCTTAGACTGTTAATATTTATCTCAATCTGTTCTTATCTATTTCAGTCTATTCTTCCTCTCTATCTATCTATCTATCTATCTATCTGACTGTTAATCTTTATCTTAATCTGTTCTTATTTCATCTATTTCTCAATTCTTCTCTGTTCTTTCTCTATTTTCCATCTATCTATCTATTTAGACTGTTAATATTTATCTCAATCTGTTTGTATCTATGTATTTCAGTCTATTCTTCTTTATCTATCTATCTATCTATCTATCTATCTGTCTTAGACTGTTAATCATCCTCAATCTGTTTCTTATCTATTTATCTCAAAATTTCTTCTATCTATGTATTTCTATCTATTCTTCTCTATCTATCTGTTCTTATCTATCTATCTAGTCTATTCTTCTCATCTATCTATCTATCTATCTATCTTAGACTGTTAATATTTATCTCCAATCTGTTCTTATCTATGTATTTCAGTCTATTCTCTATCTATCTATCTATCTATCAATCTATCTATCTATCTATCTATCTATCTTAGACTGTTAATATTTATCTCAATCTGTTCTTATCTATGTATTTCAGTCTATTCTTATCTATCTGTCTATCTATCTATCTATCTATCTATCTATCTTAGACTGTTAATATTTATCTCAATCTGTTCTTATCTTGTCTATCTTCTCTCTATCTATCTATCTATCTATCTTCTATCTATCTATCTATCTATCTCTATCTATCTATCTATCTATCTTATCTATTAATATTTATCTCTATCTATTCTTATCTATGTATTTCAGTCTATTCTTTCTTATCTATCTCTATCTATCTATATTTCTATCTATCCATATCTATGATCTATTCATCTTAGACTGTTAATATTTATCTCAATCTGTTCTTATCTATGTATTTCAGTCTATTCTTTCTCTATCTATCTATCTATCTATCTATCTATCTATCTATCTTAGACTCTATTCTGTATTTATCTCAATCTGTTCTTATGTTCTTATCTCTATTTTATTTCCTCAATCTGTTCTATCTATCTATGTATCTGTTCATTCGTTAATATCTGTCATCTTCTATCTATCTATCTTGGACTGTTACATTTATCTCAATCTCTATGTAAATCCATAATCTGTTTCTATCTATCTATCTATCTATCTATCTATCTGTCTATCTATCTTAGACTGTTAATATTTATCTCAATCTGTTCTTATCTATGTATTTCAGTCTATTCTTCTCTATCTATCTATCTATCTATCTATCTATCTATCTATCTATCTATCTTAGACTGTTAATATTTATCTCAACAGTTCTTATCTATTTATTTCAGTCTATTCTTATCTATCTATCTATCTATCTATCTATTATCATTGCCGTCTGTTCTTAATATTTATCTCAATCTGTTTATTTATCTATGTATCTCAGCTATTTTGTCTATCTATCTATCTTCTATCTATCTATCTATCTATCTTAGACTGTTAATATTTATCTCAATCATATGATCTTTTTCTCTATTCTTATCTATCTATCTATCTTCTATCTATCTCTTATCTCTTCTCTATCTATCTATCTATCTTGTCTATCTATCTATCTATCTATCTATCTATCTATCTTAGACTGTTAATGCTATCTCAATCTGTTCTTATCTATGTATTTCAGTCTATTCTTCTCTATCTATCTATCTATCTCTATCTATCTATCTATCTATCTATCTCTTCATCCTTTATCATCTGTCTTTTATTATCTACTAATTTTCTATCTATCTCAATCTGTTCTTATCTATCTATTTCTATTATCTATATCTATTTATTCTCTATCTATCTATCTATCTGTCTATCTATCTATCTATCTATCTATCTATCTATCTATCTATATCTATCTATCTTAGACTGTTAATAATTTATCTCAATCTGTTCTTATCTATGTATTTCAGTCTATTCTTCTATCTATCTATCTATCTTATCTATCTATCTATCTATCTTAGACTATCTCTTAATATTTATCTCAATCTGTTCTTATCTATGTATTTTCAGTCTATTCTTCTCTATCTATCTATCTATCTATCTATCAATCTATCTTCTTAGACTGTTAATATTTATCTCAATCTGTTCTTATCTAAGTTAATTCTATCTCAGTCTATTCTTTATCTGTCTCTATCTCATCTGTTCTATCTATCTATCTATCTATCTATCTATCTTAGACTGTTAATATTTATCTCAATCTGTTCTTATCTATGTATTTTGTGTCTATTCTTCATCATCTATCTATCTATCTATCTATCTATCTTATCATCTTAGACTGTTAATATTTATCTCAATCTGTTCTTATCTATCCTTTCAGTCTATTCTTCTCTATCTATCTATCTATCTATCTATCTATCTATCTATCTATCTATCTATCTTAGACTGTTAATATTTATCTCAATCTGTTCTTATCTATGTATTTCAGTCTATTCTTCTTATCTATCTATCTATCTATCTATCTATCTATCTATCTATCTTCTTAGACTGTTAATATTTTATCTCAATCTGTTCTTATCTATGTATTTCAGTCTATTCTTCTCTATCTATCTATCTATCTATCTATCTATCTATCTATCTATCTTAGACTGTTAATATTTATCTCAATCTGTTCTTATCTATGTATTTCAGTCTATTCATCTCTTCTATCTATCTATCTATCTATCTATCTATCTATCTATCTATCTTAGACTGCTAATATTTATCTCAATCTGTTCTTATCTATGTATTTCAGTCTATTCTTCTCTATCTATCTATCTATCTATCTATCTATCTATCTATCTATCTATCTATCTATCTTAGACTGTTAATATTTATCTCAATCTGTTCTTATCTATGTATTTCAGTCTATTCTTATCTATCTATCTATCTATCTATCTATCTATCTATCTATCTATCTATCTTTTTGACTGTTAATATTTATCTCAATCTGTTCTTTATCTATGTATTTCCAGTCTTATTCTTCATCCATCTATCTATCTATCTATCTATCTGTCTATCTATCTATCTTAGACTGTTAAAATTTATCTCAATCTGTTCTTATCTATGTATTTCAGTCTATTCTTATCTATCTATCTATCTATCTATCTATCTATCTATCTATCTATCTATCTCTATCTTAGACTGTTAATATTTATCTCAATCTGTTCTTATCTATGTATTTCAGTCTATTCTTTCTATCTATCTATCTATCTATCTATCTATCTATCTTATCTATCTTCTATCTTCTATTAGACTGTTAATATTTATCTCAATCTGTTCTTATCTATGTATTTTCATCTTTATCTTCTCTCTATCTCTATCTATCTATCATCTATCTATCTATCTATCTTAGACTGTTAATATTTATCTCAATCTGTTCTTATCTATGTATTTCAGTCTATTCTTCTCTATCTATCTATCTATCATCTATCTATCTATCTATCTATCTATCTATCTTAGACTGTTAATATTTATCTCAATCTGTTCTTATCTATGTATTTCAGTCTATTCTTCTCTCATCTATCTATCTATCTATCTATCTATCTTAGACTGTTAATATTTATCTCAATCTGTTCTTATCTATGTATTTCAGTCTATTCTTCAATATTCTTCATCTATCTATCTATCTATCTATCTATCTATCTATCTATCTTAGACTGTTATCTATTTATCTCAATCTTTCTTATCTATGTATTTCTATCTCAATCATTCTCTATCTATCTATCTATCTATCTATCTATCTATCTTAGACTGTTAATATTTATCTCAATCTGTTCTTATCTATGTATTTCAGTCTATTCTTCTATCTATCTATCTATCTATCTATCTATCTATCTTAGACTGTTAATATTTATCTCAATCTATCTATCAGTCTATTCTTCTATCTATCTATCTATCTATCTATCTATCTATCTATCTATCTTAGACTGTTAATATTTATC